TGTTACTTTGCTCACACTCCAACAGCACGTCAAGTATTAAAAACCATTTGTCTCCATTCACTCCTATCAAACACGCTCACGCATGCCTGCTGGAAGTCCAAGCCCCTCGCACACAAAACCTCCTTTACCCCCTCCCTCCAAACTTTCCTAGGCCGACCCCTACCCCACCTTCCTTCCACTACAGACTGATACACTCTTGAAGTTATTCTGTTTCGCTCCATTCTCTCTACATGTCCAAACCACCTCAACAACCCTTCCTCAGCCCTCTGGACAACAGTTTTGGTAATCCCGCACCTCCTTCTAACTTCCAAAACTACGAATTCTCTGCATTATATTCACACCACACATTGCTCTCAGACATGACATCTTCACTGCCTTCAGCCTTCTCCTCGCTGCAACATTCATCACCCATGCTTCACACCCATATAAGCGTTGGTAAAACTATACTCTCATACATTCCCCTCTTTGCCTCCAAGGACAAAGTTCTTTGTCTCCACAACCTCCGCAATTTCTCTTCAGAATCTCCCAAAAGCACAGTGTCATCAGCAAAGAGCAACTGAGACAACTCCCACTTTGTGTTAGATTCATCTTTTAACCCCACACCTCTTGCCAACCCCCGAGCATTCGCTTCTCTTAAAATCCCATCTATAAATATATTGAATAAACATGGTGACATCACACATCCTGGTCTAAGGCCTACTTTTACTGGGAAATAATCTCCCTCTCTATTACATATTCTAACCTGAGCCTCACTATCCTCGTTAAAACTCTTCTGCTTTCAATAACCTACGTCCTATTCCATACATTTGCAACATCTGCCACATTGCCCTCCTATTCACCCTGTCATATGCCTTTTCCAAATCCATAAATGCCACAAAAACCTCTTTACTCTTATCTAAATACTGTTCATCTATAGGCTTCACTGTAAACACTGTCTACACACCCCCTACCTTTCCTAAAACCTTGTTCATCTGCTATCCTACTCTCCATCTTACTCTTAATTCTTTCAATAATAACTCTACACTTTACCAAGTATACTCAACAGATTTTTTTTTTTTTCAGCAAGTCGGCCGTCTCCCACCGAGGCAGGGTGACCCAAAAAAGAAAATCCCCAAAAAGAAAATACTTTCATCATCATTCAACACTTTCACCTCACTCACACATAATCACTGTTTTTCCAGAGGTGCTCAGAATACAACAGTTTAGAAGCATATACGTATAAAGATGTGCAACTCTTGGGTATCTTTATGTGACACCACCTATGACTGCTGCACCTCTCCTGCCATACGGTTTATAAGCTGCTTCTCCGCTCATCTGCCGTATTCTACTCAAGATTGATGGACTGAACACATCGACTCAAGGTTGAGGGACTGATTACCTCATTCTCCTCCTGTTCTTCAAGTTTCTCCTATGTATGGACTGATGAAGCCACTGTGTGGCGAAATGTTTCCGCAATAAAGATACCCAAGAGCTGCACATGTGTCAAATTTATCAACATGTCGGTTCTCTGAACTATTCATCTACAAACCTGTCAGACACTGCAATTTCTTGGGATCTTAATACTTAGGAATTCTTCGCTTGCCTAATTCTTGGGCACAACCTACTTCCACTTTGAACAAATGTGACACCACCTATGACTGCTGCACCTCTCCTGCCATACGGTTTATAAGCTGCTTCTCCGCTCATCTGCCGTATTCTACTCAAGAGTGATGGACTGAACACATCGACTCAAGGTTGAGGGACTGATTACCTCATTCTCCTCCTGTTCTTCAAGTTTCTCCTATGTATGGACTGATGAAGCCACTGTGTGGCGAAACGTTTCCGCAATAAAGATACCCAAGAGTTGCACATGTGTCTAATTTATCAACATGTTGGTTCTCTGAACCATTCATCTACAAACGTATAAAGATACACAACATATCCTTCCAAACTGCCAATATCCCAAACCCCTCCTTTAAAGCGCAGGCATTGTACTTCCCATTTCTAGGACTCAAGTCCGACTATATAAAAATAACCGGTTTCCCTGAAACCCTTCACTAAATATTACCCTGCTCACACTCCAACAGCTCGTCAGGTCCCAAACACCAAGGAACTATGCATGCTCTCTGCCAATCCCGAGGTACCTTATCCTCTTCCATACATTAGCACCAACCACTCCAAAACTATATCCCCACCTGCTTCTAACATTTCTATCTTTATCCCACCAATCCCAGCTGCCTTACCCCCTTTCATTCTATCCACTGCCTCACGAACTTTCCCCACACTCACAACTGGCTCTTCTTCACTCCTACAAGATGTTATAACCTCCTTGCCCTACACACACACATTCACAGCTTCCCATCTTCATCAACATTTAACAATTCCTCAAAACATTCCCTCCATCTTCCTGATACCTCTAACTCTCCATTTAATAACTCTCCTCTTCTATTTTTAACTGACAAATCCATTCATTATCTAGGCTTCCTCAACTTGTTAACCTCACTTCAAAACTTTTTCTTATTTTAAACAAAATTTGTTGATAAGATCTCACCCACTCTCATTTGCTCTCTTTTTCTGCCAATCATACAAAAAAAAAAATGTTGATTTATCTAGTCACTGGATTTTTCAAATTACTTTGAAAGCAGCAGCAAATGAACTTAATGCTTCATTCTGCCTATGAAAAACCCACAATCTTTTGGTTATAAGCTAAGCACACTTGCACCTTCCTTTCTTCAGTGTCTTACTTTTTATTTTCCAACTGTTTATATGCTCTCAAAGAGCTCCTACATATTAAGGCAGCTGAAAATATTTTAACAATGCATGTGAGGACTTCCCTCAAGGAGAAAAACGTAAACCATCCTTCAAGGAAAAAATCTAAACCATCCCTAAGAGAAATAATCTAACCCATTCCTCAAGAATATCAAAGTCATCCCTCAAGGGGGTAAAAAAAAAAAATTCTAAATGAAAGAAAGCCTGAGACATGCTGAGAAAATACTGCATAATCAATGTAGCTTTCTCTTGATCTACACCCTGTACACTCTCTCTCACTACAGAGTAGAATAACAACAACCTGTATACAATAAGCATACCTAATCTTATACATCACCTTTTCTATCAAATCTTCCTCACTTATTTCCTATCAGACTGTGCTGCATCTGTGGCCATTCTCTTATCACAAATCCCCCATCAAGCTTGCACATGTGCAATGACTGACATTTCTCTTCATAGTTCCTCATTTTATACACTACGTATACCAAATTTTCTGGAATTCTGTGTGTTTTGTTTACCATTACAATGTAGTATTATTTGCAGACAGCAACCGCCCAGGGAGGTACTAAGTTCCTGCTGAGTGAGTGTAAAACGAAAGCCTGTAATTGTTTTACATGATGGTACGATTGCTGGTGTCTTTTTTCTGTCTCATAAACATGCAAGATTTCAAGTATGTCTTGCTACTTCTACTTACACTTAGGCCACACTACACATGCATGTACAAGCATATATATATATAGTATATACATACCCCTCTGGGATTTCTTCTATTTTCTTACTAGCTCTTGTTCTTGTTTATTTCCTCTTATCTCCATGGGGAAGTGGAAAAGAATTCTTCCTGAGTAAGCCATGCATGGCGTAAGAGGCAACTAAAATGCCTTGAGCAAGGGGGCTAGTAACCCCTTCTCCTGTACATATTCCTAAATTTAAAAGGATAAACTTTCATTTTTCCTTTTGGGCCACCCTGCCTTGGTAGGATACTGCCAGTTTGTTGAAAGAAGAAAGAATATTCAATATTTCTACTTTTATAACCATATTTATTTTTCTTCTTTCTTTCAACAAACCGGCAGTATCCCACCGAGGCAGGATGGCCCAAAGAGAAAAACAAAAGTTTCTCTTTTAAAATTTAGTAATTTATACAGGAGGAGGGGTTACTAGCCCCTCGCTCTCAGCATTTTAGTCACCTCTCATGACACGCATGGCTTATGGAGGAAGAATTCTGTTCCACTTCCCTATAGAGATAAGAGGAAATAAACAAGTTCTAGTAAGAAAATAGAAGAAAACCCAGAGGGATGTATACACATATGCTTGTACATGTATGCATAGTGTGACCAAAGTGTATGTAGAAGTAGCAAGACGTACATACTTGAAATCTTCCATGTTTATGAGACAGAAAAGATACCAGCAATCCTACCATCAGGAAACAATTACAGGCTTATGTTTTACACTCACTAGGCAGGATGGTAGTACCTCCCTGGGCAGCTGCTGTCTATCAACCTACTACCTAGGATATTTATTTTTACTTCTATAAGTATATCATATGGTATTTCTAAACTACCATGTTATTTTTTAATTCCTTACAAATTTCTTAAACACAAACTCCAGCAAAAAACTAATTTTGTACTATTTCCCAATAGCTCAGTTATGTACATTATAACAGCACTTGCAGTGTCTGCTCTTTCAACTATTCCACTTCCTATTCTTCTAGCAACAATACATACTAAAAAGTCATCCACTTATCAAACAACATGGGTGAAAAATGAATTTCTGTATTGCTTGCCTCATCCCCATGCCACATCACCCATTTATTCAAGAGCAATAAAATGGAAACTGGACAGTATATTGTGGAAGGTGAAACTGAAGTCCTCTTCCCTCAACTCTTCATAGCCATCTGTCACTTCTCAAACCACAACTGGTCTCTGCATGAACTTCTTACTTACATACAGCTCATTTTTTAATATTTTATATACCAATTTTTTTTTAACACTGCCTGTTTCCCACAGAAGCAGGGTGGCCTAAAAAAAGAAGAAACACTTTCACCATTACTCACTCCATCACTATCTTTCAGAGGGGTGCGGGCACTGTACTTCCCATCTCCAGGACTCAAGTCTGGCTAAGCCATTTTTCATGTACAGTATATGGGGATCATCGCCTCCACCCCAGAACCTCTCTCTATCACATGAAACTATCTACAGCAGCAATCATCTTTTAACTCGAGTAGTGAATGTGCTTCTCCCAAATTCCTGACTCACCTGTGGAACATTATCTACCATCTCCACCTTAAGCCGTCTAATGTTGTCTTTCTGTCGCTGCTGATCCTCCTCTTTTTCTCTCTCTTCAAGCTCAATACGCTCTGCTTGTTCTCTTTCCTGCTGCTTTTTACGTTCCTTTTCTTGGTCTGCCCTCAAGCTCTCCTGGTAATCTTCATCTTGCTGCAGCCTTAGGGCAGCTGTTAGCTCTCGTTCTTGCCTAAAGTGCAGGAGGAAAAAAAGCAACATACTGAATAAATTAGGGCAACTGAGTGGGGTATCCTTAATCTCACATGCCAATGTATGTATAGTTAAATTATATTAAGCAAATTACTACCTCCCTCATTCATCCTCCCTTCATCTGCTATTCTTCTTTCTTTCTTTCAACAAACCGGCCGTATCCCACCAAGGCAGGGTGGCCCAAAAAAAAAACGAAAGTTTCTCTTTTAAATTTAGTAATTTATACGGGAGAAGGGGTTACTAGCCCCTTGCTCCCGGCATTTTAGTCGCCTCTTACAAAAGCATGGCTTACGGAGGAAGAATTCTGTTCCACTTCTCCATGGAGGTAAGAGGAAATAAACAAGAACAAGAACTAGAAAGAAAATAGAAAAAAACCCAGAGGGGTGTGTATATATTTGCTTGTACATGTATGTGTAGTGTGACCTAAATGCAAGTAGAAGTAGCAAGACGTACCTGAAATCTTCCATGTTTCTTTCTTTCAACACACTGGCCGTATCCCACCGAGGCAGGGTGGCCCAAAAGGAAAAACAAAAGTTTCTCCTGTTACATTTAGTAATATATACAGGAGAAGGGGTTACTAGCCCCTTGCTCCCGGCATTTTAATCGCCTCTTACAACACGCATGGCTTAAGGAGGAAGAATTCTGTTCCACTTCCCCATGGAGGTAAGAGGAAATAAACAAGAACAAGAACTAGAAAGAAAATAGAAGAAAACCCAGAGGGGTGCGTGTATACATATGCTTGTACATGTATGTGTATTTTTTTTTTATTATTATCACACTGGCCGATTCCCACCAAGGCAGGGTGGCCCGAAAAAGAAAAACTTTCACCATCATTCACTCCATCACTGTCTTGCCAGAAGGGTGCTTTACACTACAGTTTTTAAACTGCAACATTAACACCCCTATTATTCTTCTTTCAACACACCGGCCGTATCCCACCGAGGCGGGGTGGCCCAAAAGGAAAAACGAAAGTTTCTCCTTTTAATTTAAGATAATATATACAGGAGAAGAGGTTAATGCCCCTTGCTCGGCATTTTAGTGCCTCTTACAACACCATGGCTTACGAGGAAGAATTCTGTTCACTCCCCTGGAGAACAAGAGGAAATAAACAAGATATAACTTGAAAGAAAATAGAAGAACAACCAAGGGTTTGTATATAATGTGCTTGTACAGATGTGTAGTGTGACCTAAGTGTAATTAAAGTAGCAAGACGTACCTGAAAATTTGATGTTCATGAGACCAGAAAAAGGATCCACGAATCTACCATCATGTAAAACAATTTACAGGTTTCGTTTTACACTCACTTGGCAGGACGGTAGTACCCCCTGGGCGTTGCCTGTCTAACTACTACCTATCCCCCTATTGTTATTATATTTTATAGATGTGAGAATGAATCTAAGTGTTTTCATAGCAATGGTCAACACAATTTGAAGTAAAAAAATTAATGTTATAGTCAATCTTGCACAATTCAGCACCACCGTAGCCCAACAAGGTTACGTACTTTGCAGTAGATTATAAGTGAAACTTTCAAATTTCAGCCAATAAGAGAAGATTTCCGTATTTCTCTAAATACTACATTAAGAGAAACCTAAATGATGAAAAAATTATTCTAGCCTGGATCCATGAGAACACTGATAGAAAATCTATATTGTTTTTAGATCTAGAGTTATGCTCCTGCTCAAGGCACTGCATGTAGTAACTTTGGTGTGATACCACTCAATCACTATCGTTTCAATGCACAAATAACTCCTCTACATGTGATACACACAAATCTGGCTACAATTACACTACATTACTAAGTTTCAATTGAAAACTTGTGTTAAAGGTTTCAAAATCAGCATGAAGAGGTATTCCTAAGATACTGCCCAGAAGAGTAGTGGAAAAATTAACTGGAAGAAACTTGTGTTTTTTTGTTTTTACCTCAACAGTCATCCCTATCCTTCATTCAACTGCAACACTTAAAAAAAAAAAAAAGGACTAAAGTAATATGGGATACCTAAATACCAAGTTTTTTTCAAATACCCATAGCACTAGTACACTTCTTAATCTTGCAATTTTGTTGCACTTTCTCTTCCCTACCCTGCCTATCCTCCTATAACTGACCACCTCTACTGCTCGAGATCTTAATTTCTTATGTCTGAGCTTCAAATTCATGCAGCATCAATGGTACAGTAACTTCTTAAGTAGTTCTCACCCCTAACTTTTGACTCATAGCCATGTTATTTCTGAACCTCTCTATTCTCAATTTCACCATAAATTCCTCTTTTGTCATTTATACATCACTTGTACTTGAATTCTTTAATTAAAAAGTTTCAATTCTCTATTCATACTCATTTTCCCTACATTTCATTCTCTCTACAATGATATTAAATTGTACAAAAATTTTATAATCTATACAAAGAAATACATTTACTTATTCTTAGTTGTGTCCCCTTGCATCATAATTTTAAAGCCTCATATACATAAATTTATTTTCACACAATCACTGACAATGCATTTAATGAACTACTTAATGTGAAAAAAATTGCATCTTTCTTGTGTGTTTTAGAATCTGCATCCTTTTCTTAAGTGAACAATGGAACTACCTCTCAGCTCTGGCCACCACAAGATGAGCTTCATTGTCTCGAACAAAGGCTTGAAGTTGTGTAGTTAGTTGGGAGGGTGAACTAGGCCCCTCTAACCTTCCAATGACTGTCATGCGGCCATCACGCAAAACAATCAGAGCCAGGAAAGGGTAAGCGTTCTCTCTCAAGGCCTGGGAAACCCTGTAGCCTTCTGCAGTGGTGACGGAGCAGCCCCAAAACACCATGGTGTTGTTAACATATTCCACAAGATTGGGATCTGACAGTGTGGTTCTGTTAAAATGAAGGCAAGTTAAAATGGTATGAAATATTTATATTCCCAATCCATTAAAATGGTATGCAGTATTTATATTTCCACTCAGGTATATATTTTTCTACTTGACTCTCTCCAGACTTGAGGAGTAGCAAAACAAAAACTACTGTCTAATATATTTAAGATGACAAACACCTGAAACATTTGCCATCCAAAACAACAGTTTTCTGTCAGATAAATAAATATTTAATAGACAAAATAAATAAAATATGCATTTATAATTACAATACCTAAAGGTAAAATTTTTTTATTTTTATTAACACACTGGCCGATTCCCACCAAGGCAGGGTGGCCCGAAAAAGGAAAACTTTCACCATCATTCACTCCATCACTGTCTTGCCAGAAGGGTGCTTTACACTAGTTTTTAAACTGCAACATTAACACCCCTCCTTCAGAGTGCAGGCACTGTACTTCCCATCTCCAGGACTCAAGCCCGGCCTGCCGGTTTCCCTGAATCCCTTCGTAAATGTTACTTTGCTCACACTTCAACAGCACGTCAAGTATTAAAAACCATTCGTCTCCATTCACTCCTATCAAACACGCTCACGCATGCCTGTTGGAAGTCAAAGCCCCTCGCACACAAAACCTCCTTTACCCCCTCCCTCCAACCTTTCCCAGGCCGACCCCTACCCCGCCTTCCTTCCACTACAGACTGATACACTCTTGAAGTCACTCTGTTTCGCTCCATTCTCTCTACATGTCCGAACCACCTCAACAACCCTTCCTCAGCCCTCTGGACAACAGTTTTGGTAATCCCGCACCTCCTCCTAACTTCCAAACTACGAATTCTCTGCATTATATTCACACCACACATTGCCCTCAGACATGACACCTCCACTGCCTCCAGCCTTCTCCTCGCTGCAACATTCATCACCCATGCTTCACACCCATATAAGAGCGTTGGTAAAACTATACTCTCATACATTCCCCTCTTTGCCTCCAAGGACAAAGTTCTTTGTCTCCACAGACTCTTAAGTGTACCACTCACCCTTTTCCCCTCATCAATTCTATGATTCACCTCATCTTTCATAGACCCATCCGCTGACACGTCCACTCCCAAATATCTGAATACATTCACGTCCTCCATACTCTCTCCCTCCAATCTGATATCCAATCTTTCATCACCTAATCTTTTTATCCTCATAACCTTACTCTTTCCTGTATTCACTTTTAATTTTCTTCTTTTGCATACCCTACCAAATTCATCCACCAACCTCTGCAACTTCTCTTCAGAATCTCCCAAGAGCACAGTGTCATCAGCAAAGAGCAACTGTGACAACTCCCACTTTATGAGTGATTCTTTATCTTTTAACTCCACGCCTCTTGCCAAGACCTTCGCATTTACTTCTCTTACAACCCCATCTATAAATATATTAAACAACCACGGTGACATCACACATCCTTGTCTAAGGCCTACTTTTACTGGGAAATAATCTCCCTCTTTCCTACATACTCTAACTTGAGCCTCACTATCCTCGTAAAAACTCTTCACTGCTTTCAGTAACCTACCTCCTACAACATCTGCCACATTGCCCCCCCTATCCACCCTGTCATATGCCTTTTCCAAATCCATAAATGTCACAAAAACCTCTTTAGCCTTATCTAAATACTGTTCAATTATATGTTTCACTGTAAACACCTGGTCCACACACCCCCTTCCTTTCCTAAAGCCTCCTTGTTCATCTGCTATCCTATTCTCTGTCTTACTCTTAATTCTTTCAATAATAACTCTACCATACACTCTACCAGGTATACTCAACAGACTTATCCCCCTATAATTTTTGCACTCTCTTTTGTCCCCTTTGCCTTTATACAAAGGAACTATGCATGCTCTCTGCCAATCCCTAGGTACCTTACCCTCTTCCATACATTTATTAAATAATTGCACCAACCACTCCAAAACTATATCCCCACCTGCTTTTAACATTTCTATCTTTATCCCATCAATCCCGGCTGCTTTACCCCCCTTTCATTTTACCTATTGCCTCAAGAACTTCCCCCACACTCACAACTGGCTCTTCCTCACTCCTACAAGATGTTATTCCTCCTTGCCCTATACACGAAATCACAGCTTCCCTATCTTCATCAACATTTAGCAATTTCTCAAAATATTCCTTCTATCTTCCCAATACTCTCCATTTAATAACTCTCCTCTCCTATTTTTAACTTACAAATCCATTTGTTCTCTAGGCTTCCTTAACTTGTTAATCTCCCTCCAAAACTTTTTCTTATTTTCAACAAAATTTGTTGATAATATCTCACCCACTCTCTCATTTGCTCTCTTTTTACATTGCTTCACCACTCTCTTAACCTCTCTCTTTTTCTCTACATACTCTTCCCTCCTTGCATCACTTCTACTTTGTAAAAACTTTGTAAAGGTAAAAATAATTAAAATTTTTTTTAAAACAAACTGGCCTTCTCCCACAGAGTGACCTTAACAGAAAAATTAAAATTTTTATTTTTACACTTAGTAATTTATACAGAAAAGGTTATTAGCCCTTGCTACCGGCATTTTAGTCACCTCAAACTTTATGTTTTCACAAAAAATATATGTACTGTATGCACAGTACATAAAACTACATTGCAAATTTCGGCACATGCACATGTCTACACTAAATACTAAATTGCACACCTCAAACATTATGACACTTTTTTCATCACTGATACTTTAACATATAAAGCAAGACAGAGCAACAGTATTAAGCAGCCTAAAAACACTCACCTGCAGAAGACTGGTGTGTCCTGATGATCAGCACAGTGCAAATAAACTAACATGAATTTCAGTTCTGACTTAGCATGGCTCAAAGCTTGAGAGTATGAACCTTGAAAGAATGCCGGGTGCTGCTGCCCATACTCATTCTCATATTCTCCAATAAACCGCAGCACATCCCCAAGAGGATCAGTTACTGTCAGAGTGAAGGCTGGGTTACAATTACAAGTTTACTTTCATTTGGATTAATTCAGAAGAAAAATATTTACTCTTCCCTGATTAAAAGACTTAACTCCATATTCTTGTTATGCAAAATTAAAATTTTCCAATAGATAAGCCCCTTTTGAAAAGTGGGTAACTGTATTACTGTGTTAAGCAGAATGAAATATTAATGTTTAGTAAAAAAATTTCTAAACACTAGTATTTTGAGATTACAGCTTAAAAAGCTCAGTAAAAACCAGCCACACAGACAAAACATTCAAGGAATGCAATCATTCATATTAAGTTATAAAATCAACTAAAATATTTGCCTATAAGCTCAAAGTCCTCAGCAGTCATCTCAATGATGATAAAATATGCCAAATTCTAAAACAACAAAGCTTAAGACACACTTAAAATGTTCAACAGGCTTACTGGCCATAACTGGGCAGGTCCTACTCACACCCAACCATTGCCACTCATATACTTGTTCAACTTATTTTTAAAGCTATCCAAAGTTCAGTTCAATAAAATTACTTGGTAGTTAGTTCCACTCATCTATAACTCCAATACCAAACCAGTGCTTTCTCTTATCATCTATTCTAAATCTACTTTAATTCATTGCTGTGACTCCTCTCTTGGTTAGATATTTTCAGCACAATTTTTTTTTTATTTTTAAAATATTAGCCATCTACTACTGAGGAAGACTGACAAAAAAAAATAATCATTCACTCCACCAATGTCTTCCCAGAAGTATGTTGACTTCAGAGTTCAGGTGACTCTCCAAGCTTCAACATTCTCACCCCTCCTTTAGAGTGTAGGTACTATACTTCCCATTTCCAGGACTCAAGTCCAGCTTACCAGTTCCCTTGAATTCCTTCATAAATGTTACCTTGCTCAAACTCCAACAACACAGTCATAAAAAAAGCCACCAATTGTCTCTATTCTCTCCGATTTAACAAGTTCACACATACCCGTTGGATGTTCAAGCCCAAGCACTCAAAACCTCCTTTACTACCACCACCTAACCATTTCTGAGATAACTCCTACCTTTCCCTCATCTCACTCCAGATTTCAATACCCTCTTAATCATCCAATTCTGCTCCAGCCTCTCTAAATCCCAAACCAACTCAACAACCCCTTTATTTGTACCCTATTTATATCCACTTCATTCATTCTGATTTTTCAGTCATAAGCTTCAGCCATTTTCCTCCCTAGTTCTATGCCTTTCCGGAGCCTCTGACTTATCTTTGTAGGGAAAGTTTTAATATAGGGGATGAACTCTGTCATCCTTCCAATGCATTTTTGTCCATTTGTAGTATGGCATTCAAAACTTAGCTGCTTAATTTAAACAAAGCCTTACCAATGATATATAATTGGGAATTCTGTTTTTTTTTTTTTTTTATAATTCTTGACATGAAGCCAAGAAGTCTATTTGCCTGATTGTAAACACCTATAAACCGTAAGTGAGATGAACGTGCCTACCCCATCCTCAAGCAGCAACAGAATTATTCTGCAGTGGTGATTGCTGTTAAAAGATGAGGGCCTCACTCATCCTGCCAAACCTGTACTCATAACATGTTACTTGTCTGTAGGACCCACTGGGTCTACTACTTCCCAAGGACATATGAATGAACATAGCCCAGTTGGTCACTGAAGCAGGAGGGTGCTTTAGCACTTGAAAGATACAGAAGACTGCCTCATCATCTGCCAACTCATTACTTAGGACCCCAACATGGTTTAAGCACCAGTCCCTCTGACTGACATGGAGAATGGCAAGCCATTCCTAGATCTTTTGAACTTGAGGATATACAATCATGAGTTCATAATACTATTATCCTTTACTTATGCCATTTTTGGTGAAACTTCCACCAAATCTTTCACCCTGGCCATCCCACATCCTTCATACACAACCTTAATACTTACTCATCATTTCCTAACCCCTCCCCCCATGTATTTCTTCACTAAATCACTCACTGCTGAGTTATAGATTTATCTGTCTCATTGCACATACTGTATGACCCACTGGGCTTATATAATACCAGGGAACTAGGGGGTAATCTAATCTGATTTACAGAGCAGGTAGCTCAAATTCCTAGGATGAAGAGCCCTTCATCATGATCAGAGCACCTTACTCGAAGGTTACTGTATAATAACTTGTCAAAATTACAGGCAGTGAGCAATTAAATCACATCAGTTGTGTTCTGCTTTGAAAGGGATAACTAAGAGAAAACACTTCCTTCATCCTTGACACAAGAGATACTATATACTGTAGTACTGTACTTACATCTTCGTGGATATGGGTAGACAATCCGGTACACGAAGAAGAAGAGCGAAGAGAGGGAGGAGAGCGTGAGACGGAATGGTAGTGTGATCAAATAGTAGCCCCAGCTGAGCAGGCTACTCCGTGGCCTAGCAGGAAACAAGCTACCTCTATCTGTGTTGCCAAACCCTTGCGGACTGTCCATCCCTTCATCACTGTCATCTCTGCTGACATCACCACTACCTTCCCCGCCTCCTCCTCTATCTACCATTTCCTGGCAATTGTCATGCATGTTAAATGAGTTCTATTACGTTCATAACACATTTATCTATTTGCTAATGAGTATTATTTGCCAAGTTGACTATTATTCTTACAGCAACACATGACTTCCACATGAACAATGATGTATGAATGTAGAAACCCACTTGGAGACAGAAACAAAACAGGTGGCTGCTTACTTAAGCCTTTAGTTGAGGCCATCAACTGCAATCTACCTCAGAGGTTAAAATATACAGGCCCCCTCATTTTCACCTTTTTAATATCTCTAAATGGGTTTCTTCATTTCCACTACACTCCTGTAATATCACTGTGTTGATGTTAAGACATGTGCAACACTTAGATATCTTTATTGTGGAGAGGTTTTGCCAGCCACTACTGTGACTAACTGATAAAGCCACTGGCTAGTTAAAAGCCTCCATAATAAAGGTAATCAAGTGTTGTAAATAGTATCTCCTTTTCATACATTTGTCTGCTGTGCATACCATTAGCAAATAAGTCTAAGGTGCTGGGAAGTGGAGGGTCTGAGCATGTCACTTGTGAATGACAATGATATTTAGGGATCCAGCAAGAATTTGGAAGCGTGTTAAAAACTGATCATGAATTCGGTATCGCCAAATAGAAATTGTATGCAAAATTAGGGTGAGAGCAAAGGTGAGAATATAAAGTATGTATAAACAGAGTAGATGATCTATTATCAGCCAGACTATTGGATGATCTAAAAATCGACCAAAATTTTTCAAATCTGAATATAATAACTTGTTCATCCGGAACCTAACTTTGGAAAAATGTGAGAACTATGCAGTTATTTGCTAGGTTGACTATTGCAGAAATATTATAAAAAAAAATTACAGAAAATAAACACTTATAAAAAAAAATATATACGTTAGTTATTTACGTATTAAAACAATAATTGACAAATATATAGCTCATCTCAACTGTAAGTTTGAAACACAGTTTTCCCCAAACTTGTGCAGTACTGTACAGCAAAGCATTATCCTCTTGCTACAGGTTTTGTTTTTAAAAATCCCATGTTTATATAAAGAAATCTGGATTAATTTACAATAAAATAAATTTTGTGTTCAGATATGATGAACCCTAAAGGAACAGATTCTTGTCAGTAGACCTTTTTTTTTTTTTGTGCAGACAACCATCCCTTTTCTATTTTTTTCCATACGTGCACCAATGTAATTGTCTGAGAGGGCTCTAAGCACCAGCTGGCTGCTTTTGTCAGTCTAGGAAAGACATCGCACTAATATGGAACACCACTACTCAAATCTGTTTTCAGTTTACCGTTTCCTCCAGGCTGGAGTAAATGAAGGACATGTTATTGCATTATCCATGCAAAACTAAGTACACAAACACTGAAAATCTCTTAAGAGAAGTAGAGGAACAGCACAGCTAACCTGTGGTGAGGCTCGAGGTGTTGGGGGTGGGCTCTCTCTCAGAGCAAGGTGGTCCTGAACTGCAGCTTCCAAATCCCAAGAGTGGTTCTCCAACTGTGATCGTGCCTCGGCCAAGTCCTCTGTCCCTGTTACCTCCTGAAACATTGAATTTAGTTCATCACCCCAGAAATAATTTTTTTTTTTATCAAGCCATACATTTAATTGTTCAATATAACAGTCTGATAGCTAGACTGTATTGGTACAGTACATATGTAATAGCTAGAAGGGTAGACTTCTGGATACACTACATGTTTTTAGAGGAGCAACTAATATGCCAAATCATTATTTAGCGATAGCTACATTAACACTTTCAGGGTCGAGACCCCCAATCCTGAACTCTCTCTCAAGGTCTAAAAATTAAAAAAATTTTTATGAAATGATATAGAATCTTTTCCTGATGGTAATGACACCAAAAGTACAAAATTTGATGGAAAACTTAGGAAATTACGCTCTCACAAAGTTAGCGATATCGGCGATATTTACACATCGGTGATTTCGCCCACTTTGAGCCCTATTTTCAGCCAATTTCATTGTTCTGGTCGACTAAAATAATAGCTATTTCACTAGAACTCCATTTGTTCTATTGATTGAGTACAAGAAACCATCCATTTACCGATTTCAACTACCCAATAAAGTGGTCAGAAATTGGCAATTTGCCTAATTTCACACAAATTTCAAAAGATGCCAATATCAAAATAGGGTCCAGAATAAACAAGACAGACATTCCTGGCACTAAAATAACATTTTCTCTGTTTATTAGTCATGTCTTCTTGCTTTCCATTTTGAATTTTTATTCTCACAAAAAATAGAAGATTTACTGTTATGAAGACTACTGCATTATTGTAAAAAGATATAAATAGTATCAGCGCACTTGCAAAAGAATATCAGACTCGCCAGTTGATGTGTATTGGACGCATGGCATGATTTGTTTACTCTTGAACGTTGGCAAAAATCGAATATTTCTGCTACTTTGAGCTCAATTTCAAGAACTTTTCATTGTGAAACCAATCAAAATTATCTCTATTTCTGTAATACAGTGGTCCCTCGATAATCGTAGGGCTCGAGAGTCGTAGATTTCGAAAATCATAGCGATATTTTCGTATAAATATGGGCTCGCTAATCGTAGATTGACTCACGAATAGTAGTTCGTCCGGGACGCGTATGCACGCTGTGAGTCGGGGCGGCCTCCCTTCCCAGCCAGTGTGGCATTGTTTACCAGTGAGCGACGGTCCCCTCACTTGCTCCTACGAAATATTTCATAATATTCCATTCATTTTAGTGCTTGCAAGTACAGTGGACCCCCGCATAACGATTTTAATCCGTGCAAGAGGGGTAATTGTTATGCGAAATAATCGGTATGCGAATGAATTTTCCCCATAAGAAACAATGGAAATCAAATTAATCCGTGCAAGACACCCAAAAGTATGAAAAAAAAAATTTTACCACATGAAATATACATTTTCCCACACACAAAGAGAAGGATACATGCACAATAGTAGAGTAGTACATGCACAGTATATATTGTGCATGTACTAGTCTACTAAATGAAGAATAAATGACACTTACCTTTACTGAAGATGCAGCAATGACTGATGAGACACTGTGTCCTGGGAGTGCCTTTTCCTCCTGAGTACTGTAGGTCCTGTTTGGCATTTTCTTCCAGAACAGGCCTTATCACACTGTGTATGCCACTACGATTCTTAAATCTCTCAAACCAACCTTTGCTGGCTTTAAATTCACCAATATGAGCACTAGTTCCAGGCATTTTTCCCTGTTCACCTGGGTGTTAGTCGACTTGTGTGGGTTGCATCCTGGGAGACAAGATTAAGGACCCCAATGGAAATAAGTTAGACAGTCTTCGATGACACTGACTTTTTTGGGTTATCCTGGGTGGCAAATCCTCTGGGGTTAATTGTTTCTTGGTATTCTCAATAAGCCACACCAACAACGGTGCTACAGCAGCAGCAGCAGCTGACGGTGGTACAGCAGCAACAGACGATGCTACAGCAGCAGCAGACGATGCTACAGCAGCAGCAGCAGCTGACGGTGGTACAGCAGCAACAGACGATGCTACAGCAGCAGCAGACGATGCTACAGCAGCAGCAGACGATGCTACAGCAGCAGCAGACGATGCTACAGCAGCAGCTGACGGTGGTACAGCAGCAACAGACGATGCTACAGCAGCAGCAGACGATGCTACAGCAGCAGCAGCAGCTGACGGTGGTACAGCAGCAACAGACGATGCTACAGCAGCAGCAGCAGCTGCTGACAGTGCAGCAGCAGCTGACAGTGCAGCAGCAGCAGCAGCTGTACCACCAATAGTAGCGATGGTTGATTGGGGTTTATTATACAACCTGGCCAGCTCGGAGACACGCACTCCACTTTCATACTTATCAATGATCTTTTTCTTCATCTCTATTGTAATTCTCACCCTTATTGCTGTAGGGTTGGCACTAGAAGCTTTCTTGGGGCCCATGGTCACTTATTTTCCAGAAAAAGCACCGAAAACACTGTAATAATACGAAATATTCCGATTGTATGCTTGGACGTTACCGCGGAGGCTGGCTGGTAAACAATGCCACCGGCGGAACATGTGAGCGTGGCTCAGGCCGCACATTGGACGCGTCTCGGACGAAAATCGGTGAGCGGGTTTTTAAGCGGTATGTGAGGCAAAATTTTTGCGATTAAAGCAAGCGGTATGCGGATTAATCGCTATGTGATGCCATCGTTATGTGGGGGTCCACTGTACTAAATAAGCTACCATGGCTCCAAAGAAAGCTCCTAGTGCCAAGCCTTTGGTAAAGAAGGTGAGAAATACGATTGAATTTAAGAAAAACATCATTGAACAATATGAAAATGGCCTAAGTGCAGCTGAACTGGCCAGGATGTATAACAAACCCTATACTGTACAACCATATGTTCCATCGTTGCAAAGGGGTAAATATGCTGACAAAAATGAGATCACCAGTACTCGAAGAGGTTGAGAAGTTATTATTGGTGTGGATAAATGAGAAACAATTAGCAGGATAGTATTATGACGTCGATTACATATTTGTGAAAAGGCTAGGCAGTTGCACGACGATCTGGTAAAGAAATTGCGTGCAACTAGTAGTGATGTGAGTGAATTCAAGGCCAGCAAAGGTTGGTTTGAGAGATTTAAGAATCGTAGTGGCATACACAGTGTGGTAAGGCATGGTGAGGCTGCCAGTTAGGACCACAAAGCAGCTGAAAAGTATGTGCATGAATTCAAGGAGTACATAGAGGCTGAAGGACTGAAACCTGAACAAGTGTTCAATTGTGACGAAACAGGCCTCTTTTGGAAGAAAATGCCAAAGAGGACCTACATTACACAGGAGGAAAAGGCACTGCCAGGACACAAGCCTATGAAAGACAGGCTGACGCTCATGTTACTGTGCTAATGCTAGTGGGGATTTCTAAGTGAAGCCATTACTAGTGTACCATTCTGAAAATCCCAGAGTGTTCAGGAAACACAATGTTATGAAAAGTAAATTGTGTGTGTTTTGGAAATCTAATAGTAAGGCATGGGTCATGAGGGAAATTTTCGTCGAGTGGTTCAATGAAGTGTTTGGCCCTAGTGTGAAGAATTACCTCCTGGAAAAGAAATTAGATCTCAAGTGCCTCCTGCTAATGGACAATGCACCTGCTCATCCTCCAAACTTGGATGACCTAATTTTTGAGGAGTCTGGGTTCATCACAGTAAAGTTCTTGCCCCTGAATACCACTCCTCTCCTCCAGCCCATGGACCAGCAGGTCATTGCAAACTTTAAAAAACTCTACGCCAAAGCAATGTTTGTAAGGTGCTTGAATGTGACCTCAGACACTCACTTGACCCTAAGAGATTTTTGGAGAGAACACTTCAGCATCCTCCATTGCATAACCCTTATAGGTATGGCTTGGGAGGAAGTGACTACCAGGACTTTGAACTCTGCTTGGAGAAAAGTGTGGCCAGATTGTGTCAACAAGAGGGATTTTGAAGGGTTTGGGGCTAACCCTGATGAGCCTATGTCTGTTGTTAAATCTATTGTCGCACTGGGGAGTTCCATGGGGTTGGATGTGAGTTTGGAGGATGTGGAAGAGTTGGTGGAAGACCACAACGAAGAGCTCACCACTGAGGAGCTGCAAGAGCTTCAGCAGGAAGAGTAACAGATCGCAGCTCAAAATCTTGCTGCAGAGGAGGAGGAAGAGAGATGGAAGAAGGTGCCTTCTTCAGAAATTAAGGAGATTTTTGAAATGTGGGGTAAGATGGAAAGATTTATGGAGAAACATCACCGTGACAAGGCTGTTGCAAGCCATGTTGACAACATGTACATTGACAAAGTCTTGGCCCATTTTAGGGAAGTGTTAAAGAGACGCCAGAAGCAGAGCTCTCTGGACAGTTATTTTGCGAGACAGGACTCCAGTGACTCTCAAGCTGGTCCTAGTGGCATTAAGAAACAGAGAAGAGAAGTAACCCCAGAAAAGCAATTGGTACCTGAGGTGTTGATGGAAGGGGATTCCCCTTCCAAACTGTAAATAATCCAATCTCTCTCCTCCTCCAGTCTCCCATACACTAAGAAGAATCGCCAATAAAGGTAAGTGTTATGCTGTTAATGTTTCATTCATCATGTCTCATTGTATTGTTTATGTACTACATCTACATTTCATGTAAAATTTTTTTTGTTTTAATACTTCTGGGTGTCAGAAACGGATTAATTGTATTTACATTATTTCTTATGGGGAAAATTGATTCGAAAATCGTAGATTTCGATAATAGTAGCACCTCCAGGAACGGATTAAATACAATAAACGAGGGACCACTGTATATCTTCCATTCTATCAAATGAGACCAAGAAAACGAGAATACAACCATAAATACCATATGAACATACACTGCAAAGTTGCTGTTTTAAACCAAAAACACGGTCAGAGTTTTTTTTCTCATTATGCACTGCGTGCTGCAGGATTTTTTCTTACTGCCCACACTCACCACACAGACCCATTCTCTCACATGTAGGCCTACCATCTTTCTCCTGCTTAATTTGAAGCCACTAGAATTATTGAGTACACATACGTCCAAAACACTGGCTCGTAGGACG